GCCGCGTGGTGGACTACCCCAACCTGTGGGGCTACACGCGGGAGATTTACCAGATGGAGGGTGTCAGCGCGACGTTTAACCCGCTGGAGACCAAGAAGCACTACTTTGGTACGATCCGTGCCGACAGCGCGTGAGAGATGGGCTGAGGCCAAAGTGTCCAAGGTTTATGAGCGTGTCCAAGCTGAGCTGACGACACAATTGTTTGTGTGTGCGCGCGCGTGTGTGTTCTGGCGCTTTGTATGTTGCTGTAGGTTCCCATCGCAAGATCAATCCTCTGGGCATTGTGGCCCAAGGGCCGGACAATTACGAGGCGTTGCTCAGCGAGCCCCACGGCCGCGATCGCGCCTACAATTGAAATCTCCGGGGAGGGCCAACTCCCGCTTGTATACGAGTGTGTCCATTTTTAAATTTACAAGCGCGCAACATGATGGGTCTTCTGTCGGGGTGGGTGTTTCCAAACTGCAGTCAAGTGAGCCAGGCAGGCCCTCCACCATGCATGAGCTTGTAGTGGCAACCACCCACGCGTGTAGACAGACTCTTTGATCCCTCAAGCACCATCTTCTCTCCCTCCGACCTCGTTCAAAAAGAGTCTCTGCTACACTTGCTCCTCTCCCGCTGCCCTTCCTCAGTCCCGTCACCCGCTGCCCTTGCTGCCCCGAACCTCGCAATGTTGAACACACCCTCTTATTTTGCGTAGAGATGCAAGTTGCTGCAGGGGAAATGCACCTCGGTTTTTTACTCTTCTTTAAACCGTTTATTTCGATATACGAGAAGTTAATGTAGTTCTGCTAGGAATGATGATGTAAGTTATTGCAGGAGACATATCGGTTTGTGAAGGTTGCCGTTGCAATGCTCCAGAAGGCAAACGCGCGTTCAAAGGGAACGAGCAGCACCATGACCGAACCTAAAGCTCGCCGTCAGGAATGGTCGCTCACGTCAGGAATGGTCGCTCACGTTTGGGCGGGGAATAAGATTGGTATGACCAGGCAAGTTAGCCAACGGGCTTGGAATGGCATGGCTGGCAAAGGGGCAGTACATGTTGTGCCCCATTTTTGTGGTGTAAGAGGCGAGCTGTCATGGCTGGCAGAGGGGCAGTACACGTTGTTCGTACACAAGCTTGACGGCGAGATGAATTGGCGTGAGAAAGAGAGAGAGAGAGGGTTTGAGAGAGAGGGTTTGAGAGAGAGAGTTTGAGAGAAAGAGAGTTTGAGAGAGAGAGTTAGAGAGCGAGAGTTTGAGAGAGAGAGTTTGAGAGAGAGAGTTTGAGAGAGAGAGAGTTTGAGAGAGAGAGATTGAGAGAGAGAGTTTGAGAGAGAGAGAGTTTGAGAGAGAGTTTGAGAGAGAGAGTTTGAGAGAAAGAGAGAGTTTGAGAGAAAGAGAGAGTTTGAGAGATACATAAAAAGAGAGAGACTGAGACGAATTACACTCTCGATGGGTGTGGTTGGTGCGCAGAAGAAAGAAATACACGGGGGCTCGATCGGCCGAGCCAATAGATTTGGCAGGTACGTTGGGCGTGGCGATCCGATTGACCGGCGCAAACCGTCCTTACCACCCATGAGCCCGGTCCAGTGCTTTTCTTCTTTGAAAATAAAAAAATTAAAAAAGAAGAAGAAAAAGGTGTAAACGTGTGTGTTGTGTTGCTTGCATTTTTCTTCCTTTCGGTTGTTTGCCATTGCTTTTGCTTTTGCTTGTGCTTTTGATGTTGGTGCTGCCCTTTTTTGGCAGCGGTGTCGGTATCGGCATCGGCATCGGCGGGCTGCTTGACGTGTCTTGCTTTGTGTGTGTGTGTGTGTGCGTGGTGACTGATCGTTTGTGCTTGGTACCGGACTTTCCTGGTCGGGGCCCTGCAGCGACGCCAGAACGTTTTGATTGAAAGCACTGCTGCCATTTTTTTGTTTTTTGCTTTCAGTTGACCTCACTGATCTCACCTCGCAGTCGACGACGTGCGCTGGGCAACCAAGTCCACCGGTCCTCGCCACTGTCACCGAGAACTATTGGCCAAAGGTGCGTCGTTTGGTGCACCAGGCAGAGAAGAGCAAAGGGCCCGGTGACCGGCTGCCGTTTTGGAAACGGCGCGCCTGTCGAATCCCAGTCCGAATTCTAGGTTGTCAGACGAGTTGTACTTGGAGGGGGCTCATGAGATTGGTGGTGGATAGAGAAGCAAGCAAAGCGGTTTGAAGCGGATGGTGAATAGAGAGAGATACCGTTACCATGAGTGATGATGGAAAGCAGCTGTGGGATGCGTGTAATTCAATAGATCCACAAGGGGTGTTGCAGCTGGTGACCAGTTGGGACCAACAACGTATACGACGTGCTGCCCAATACAAATTGGTACGTATGCTGTTTGGTATGATGTTGTGTGATATTGGTTACACTTTGAATATGTCACTGGATGGGGTGACGTTATGGTATAACATGGGACATATACTGCATGTTTGCATCATCCCACAGTATGGCTATACACCACTGCACAGAGCCTGCCGTAACGGTCTTGTCAAGGTGGTGGAGATGCTGTTGAAGCACGGTGCTGATGCTAAAGCCAAGACCAACGTCAGTACAGTACCTCCCTCTTCTCCCCTTTACCCCCTATGATGGTGCACCCGTACCCCATGATGATGATGATGATGATGCTGTACCTGTTCATCCCACAGGGTGGCTATACACCACTGCACATGGCCTGCCACAACGGACATGTCAAGGTGGTGGAGATGCTGTTGAAGCACGGTGCTGATACTAAAGCCAAGGACAGGGTCAGTACAGTACCTCCCTCTTCCCCCCCTTTAACCCCCCTATGATGGTGCACCTGTACCCCATGATGATGATGATGCTGTACCTGTACGTCATGCTGATGCATCATCCCACAGGGTGGCTATACACCACTGCACGAGGCCTGCGCTTACGGTCATGTCAAGGTGGTGGAGATGCTGTTGAAGCACGGTGCTGATGCTGAAGCCAAGGCCAACGTCAGTAGAGTACCTCCCTCCTTCCCCCCTTTACCCCCCTATGACTGCTGCTCCTGCTCCCGCTGCCCCGTCGCCTTTGCCCCCGTCCCTCCTCTCTGCGACACCCTGCCCGCCCGTGCGCGTCCGTTCCTCCCCCCCTGGCTCCTTTTCTTCTTTCCCGCTATCCCTCTTCTTTCCCCGTTTTGCGTCCGCGCTTTGCCGGTGCTCTCCGCGCCCCGCCCTGCTCCCGCTGGTCTCTTTCGCCTGCCGTCCTCGCTCTCCCCTTTTTCTGATCCATCCCCAACGCGTTGCCATCACGCTTCTGCCTCCCTCGCACGCTCAAGCGGCTTTCGGTGGCCGTGCCTTCACTTTTGCCCCCGGCACACGCGCCGTTTCCTTTTTTTTTTTTTTTTCTCTCTCTCCAAGCGCGCCTCCGTTCGGACCCCTGCTACCTGCCCGCACCATTTGCACACCACTCGCGCGTCTGGCGGCTCCGGCACACTTCAAAGCATTGTCACCTCGCCTTTGTTATATCCAAGCAAATGCACGTCGCCCAACTCAGCCCTCGCGTCGCTGCCCACCTCACACGCTCAAATCACATGTTCTCAGGGTGGCAGAACGCCCCTTGATCTCGGACGTCAAGAAGGACATGGCGACAAGCTGGAACCCGTGTTTGCTGCTCACAAGACTCGCCTATCACAACCACCCGCACCACTCGCTCCGCCTACGCCGGCACCGCCTTCCGCCTGGCTGCCGCCTCTGCCCACCACCCCCACCCTCGAGGTGAGCCTGCTCCCCCATCTTGTTTTCCCCAATGCATTCACTACCCCAATCCCCACGGCCTCGTCCAACCTAATCACGACCAATGGCACCACACAACCCTCCATCAGACCACGGCCTCTGTTGTGGTGGCGGTGGATACCTGGCTCAGGCCCCTCCTGCCGGAGCGCACCACCACCCATCCCCTCCCCCACCTCGATGCCTTTATCAGCGGTGCCGCCAAACAAACCCCCAATCTTGCAACGGCAGTTGCGGACATCCAGAGGACCATCGATGAAGCGCCACCAGAGTTTCCTGCCATGGACTGGCCTGCCTTCCAGGCGACCACCACCCAGGCCCTCGGCGCACTCGACCAGGCACTGGCAGCGCCCGAAGCGTTGAGCAACCGCTTGGGTCAATTGGACCCAAACACTGACAACCTAGAATCAGTGCTGCAAGAGCTGCATGGTGTCACAGCTGGTTTTGAGCTGCAGCCGGTGCTTCTTAAGCTTCAAACCGTGCTGGCAGCGTGCCCCGCTCCACCCACCACGCTGACAATGGCACCCAAAACGCCACCCGCCAACCTCGGTGCAGCCCTGGACAAAGTTGCCATGCTACGCGACGTGGGAGCCAAGCGCATAGAACTGTTCACCAACGCCAACAACAACCTCGAGCAGCTAGTGCTGAAGCTGATTACTGCCCTGCGTGCTGTGGCAAGAGCGGGAACCACCGACACGGACCATCGAGTGGAGAGACTGGAGCAGTGTGCGCAACGGTTGGATGTGAGTGCACCACCTCCAACCGAGGCATTGCCCGAGGCCTGGGAGGAGCTGTGCCAAGCTCACGAAACGCTGAGCTTGCCCGAGCAAAACGGCCTGGAGCAGCTGATAACATGGAGAGTCGAGCACGACTATGAGCATCAAGACTGGTATCTGGTGTTTGCGCTTCACGAGGCGCAAGCCCTGTTGCAGCAGCTGCAAGACATGATCGACTGGCAAACCACGACGCTGAACGTGCTGACTTCGTGCGAAGAGTATGCAAGCGGCATCACGCAGAGCAGCGCAGATCAAGTTGTGTACATTCATGAGGAGGTGGCCGAGCTGCAGAAGAACATCCAGACAACTACGGCATTCTTGCCGTTGGCTCCAGATGAGATGCGAGCTGGCCTCGAGGATCGATTGCAAAACATGAAGGAGCGCCTGGTCACTTTACAGCAACAACTATCGGATCAAACACAGGTAGACCAGGTGGCGGCACTGGCAGAGCTACTACACCAACACTTCCCAGCACTGCTGGTCTTTTTGCACCCTGAACAGAGCACGCTGGGAGCGCGCCTCCGCACAGTGCTTGGCCCCGACCTTCCAGCCAGTCTGATCTTGGAGGCCATGACCGAAGTAGACCGGGGTTTGACGCTCTCCAGTCTGGGTCAGCTGTCTCTCCAATACAACCAGAATCACAAGGTATACAAAGCCCGCGCAACGCTGCCGAATCTTCCTGAACAAGATTTGGCTGTAAAAGAGTATGCACTTGCTGAGCAACACAAACAAGATCAGTGTCGGACGTTTCTCCGCGAACTGCGCGCCATGCGCCAGCTTGAGCACCCTCACATCATTCCGGTCCTTGGCGCGCTCGTGGACGTACACAGTGGCCACCCCAGCGCCTACTTGGTGCAGTCATGGTGTGCACAGGGTGACTTGCAGCAGTGGCTCAGCAAGGCACGGCACCTGGCCACCTCGACCGTGATTGCGAGTCTGATGACTCAGCTGCGCACCGCCCTGGCGTTTATGCATAGCAAGGGCCTGGTGCACCGAGATGTCAAGCTGAGCAATGTCATGCTGGACGGTGACGAGGACCAACCTGTTGTGCGGCTCGGTGATTTCGACATTGCCAAGGCGGCCGCCGAAGCCACCATGCTACCATCTACGGCCACCGCATCGTCGGGCACGGCGGGCTATGTGGCACCCGAAGTGCTTTTTGGCCGGGGCCGAGTGGGGGCGCGTCCAGCACAAGATGCCTTTTCCTTCGGCTGCGTGCTCTACAACACGTACATGTATCCACAAACGGTGCCGCCTGCTCGTTTACCCACGGATCAGCTTGTTGACAAATGCACATGGGATGCAGGAGCAGGAAATGCAGATTTCGGTTTTCCGCACTTGGCGGCTGAGGTAAGCGTATTGTGATTCTCTGAAACGACAACTGGGCACCGCGCCTCTAATGTGATGGAAACTCACGTTGGTTTCTCTGATGCAGATGTGCGATTCGTCGAGTGATTTGTACAAGGAAACGCGGGCTTTGCTTGCAACAGATCCGAAGCAACGGCCAAGCCTTTTCAGCGCCCGGAACATCGCGCAGCAGCCTGCCTTGGCCCAAGTCGGGCCAGCCATTGATGTCTTGCGCGATGCGCCCGAGCTCATTTCAGAGGTGCGTCGCTTGTGATGACTCTTTTTTTTTTTTTTTTTTTTTTTTTTTTTAATTTACTCTTCCGCAAGTCGTCTGATTTGAATCTACTGAATGGCTAGGTGGGTGAGCTACTGAAGCGGCTGAACACCGATGGGCGGGGACCAGCGAATATCGCAGTGCAACGAGTGGAGCGCGTGCACAACCCCGTGCTGTGGGAGCGCTACAGCGCCAAGCGACGAGAGATGTTGCATCGTATCAAAAGTCAGGAGCACTATGATCAACTCCAAGCGGCCACATCAGATGCACCCTCGGGCTCTCCAGCTCTGCTTCGCGATGCATCCTGTCAAGAGCGCCTGTTGCTCCACGGCATCGCCCCGGACAGATCTCTGCGCGACAAGATTGTGCGCCTTGGCCTTGACCAGCGTTTTGCTGGCAACAGTGCCGGCCACCGCTTTGGTCTCGGTGTTTACTTGGCGGACCATCCCGGCAAGGTATGGCAACGCTGGCTTTCAATTTCGCCTGTTTATTTGAGCGCTGGTGTGCTGACGCAATGTGCTTACATGATTTCAGAGTCATCAGTACGCTCGTGCCGATCCCAACGGCGAACGAATGCTTGTCATCACGCGAGCACTCCTGGGCCATGCCCATGTCCATCCATCACCTCCTTCTGGGGCGCTGGCGCCACCGCTCCTGCCCAGTGCGCCCAACAACGAGCGGTGCGTCGGACCAAAATCGACCATCTGTTGCATGTTGCCCTCAGCAAAGTACCTCTGTCCACCACCTGATCTGACTTGTTGCATCTGCCATTGAATTTTCTTCAGGTATGACTCTGTTGTCGCGACACCCTCTGGGCAATTCCACGAGGTGATTGTGTTTGAGAATGCCCAAATGTATCCGGAGCTGGTTGTATACTACACGGCCAATTAGGATGAGCTGGACTAGGTGCTAGTTTGTTGTGAGCGGCAGAGCCCTTTGTCCTGATGCTTTTGCACACAATCAGCGTTATCGATGAGGGGTCTTCCCACAGGAGCCCCTATGGAGCTGGCGCGACTTCATTTCCTGACTAACATACGCACCTTCACGAACTGAGGCGTGCCCTCCCTCTAGGGGGCACATGCGTCGACTCCGCGAGCTTTGCAATGTCTTGGCAGCCAGTCTTGTCTGATATGCTTGTGTTCACCGTTGTTCGTTATTGTTTGTTTGTTTGTTGTAACACCTCTTGGTCTGGTCACTGTGAATGCTTGCAGACCGCAGCTGGTTCAATTGACCTCACGACACCACCAAATTTCTTGTTTCGTCCCGACGGACGTCTTTCAAACCTTTTTTTCAAAACCCCTCCTCAACACGGCCCGCTTCCTCGCAAACCCAAAACTGGCCTTTCACATGCTGTGGAGCCTGACAGCTGGCTGTCCCTGAATGAACGGCATACCTTTCCATAAATGGATCAGGAAATCAGCATGCTAATCTTCATGTATTTGTTGCTAAGCAAGCTTCTGGAGCACAGGCTGAGTAGCTGGCTGGAGAAGCGAGGCAAGCTGGACACGCCCGGCGACTATGCTGCATTTCATTGACAAACGACAACGTACCTGTATCGGCCAACGTTTGGGGTACGCCACGACCTTCTGGATGACGACGGTTGAAATTCAGCGACTCTTGGCCGAGACGACCAGCGCTCTTGGCAGCCTGATCCACAATCAAGCTCGGCACTCTGGAGACATGGCCGAGCAAATGACCATGTGCAAACCAAGATGTCGTCTCGACTGATGCATCAGGTGGTCTTGCATAAGTGGCATGCTTTGTTTGGACTAGTATGGTAACACGCAGTATGGTCGAGTTGACAGCAGCCCGAGAAGCATTGGGAGTTTGCGAAATTCCAACAGTTGGAACCCAGTGACTGACCCCTCGCCCGAGGCGAATCTTATTGTTGTTGTTGTTGTTGACATGTGGCGTTTGTGTGCAGATGTGCGACGCGACGAGCGGTTTGTACAAGGAAACAAGGGCCTGCTTGCAAGAGATTTCAAGCAGCGCCCAACTCTCTTCAGCGCCGGGCAGAGTGTGCAACGCCCACGTTGTTGGGCCAGCCATTGACGTTTTACGCGACGCACCCGAGCTTGTGTTAGAGGTGCGTTGCTTGCTGATATCGTCATAATAATACTGTTCTTTTTATCTTGACAAGCCGTGTGGTTTGAATTTATTGTGTGACTAGGTGGCTGAACTGCTGCAGCAGCTGATTGCTGACGGGCTAGGACCAGGTAACGCTGCAGGGCAGCGGGTGGCGCGTGTGCAGAACCCCGTGCTGTGGGAACGGTACAACACCAAGCGACGGGAGATGCTGCACCGCCTCACAAGATAGGAGCACTATAATCGACTTGTCACCACCACCTCGGATGTGCTCTCGGGCTGTCCAGCTTTGCTTCGTGATACACCCTGTCAAGAGCGCCGGCTGCTTCATGTCCGAGCAATCGCTGCGCGATAAGATTGTAAGCTTGGGCCGCGACCATCCCTTTGCTGGTAGCCGCGCGAGCCACCGGTTTGGTTTCGGTGTTTACTTGGCCGACCATTCTGGCAGGGGTTAGAAACTGCGACTGGTTTGATCGGAATGCGCCGCTGTTCTGATGCCAGATGCGCTTTTGTCAATGACTTTAGAGTCATCAGGACACCAATGGTGGACTCGATGGCGAGCGCATGCTTATTGTCACGCGAGTTTTGTTGGGTCATGCCTAGGTCCATGAAGCACCACCTTGTGGAGCACTGGCCCCACTGCTCTTGCCAGGCGCACCAGACAATGAGCGGTGCGCCGGACAGACACGTTGCATGTTGGTTCTGAGCCGCGAGTACCTCTGGTCGACTTTGGACCTGACACGACGATTGCCTGTGACCTTTTCTACAGACATGACTCGGTGATCGCGACACCGTGTGGCGAATTTCACCAGGTGGCCATCTACGACCATTCACACATCTATTCCGAGCTGGTGGTGTCCTATACACGATCGAATGATGCCAAACTCGAGGCAGTGTGAACATTGGGTTTTGGTGTTGAGAGATCCTTTCCTCTCTGCTCGCATGATTCGCTTTTGAGCATTTGAACGCGACCGTGGACTGACTGGAGTGATGCGTGAATAATATCGTTCTTGGATGCGCATCATCTCGGCTTCTTCCCGTGC